AACAATATTGAAAAAATAGTACCTAGAAATATTTTCTACAAATGGATACATAAGGGACTTATCAAATATTATTCATCCAATATATGCATGCATCAGCCTTTTTAGAGTAAATTAGTTTCTATCATTTAATTCACTTATAAGCAGTTTCTTCATTTTACTTCTACACTAAGCTAAAAAAAATCAATCCTATTTACAATAAAGATCATTTGGAAATAAGCGATGTCCAGATTTAGCCTTTCCTAAATCAACTGTAGCCAGCCTGCCTTATACCCTATTACAGCCTGCCAACTGTAACCCAAACTGAAGTATTTCTTTACCATCCTTCACATTCTCTTCTTTTCTCCTTGTAATTTTCCCTGTGTGTAGCTTAAACACGAATTAATTTCTCTTACAAAGTTCTCCATGAAGATATCCTTTCTCTTAAGCAGATAGTTCTTCTGTGCTTTCCTTCTCCTCTTTCTAAAGGCAGAAAGTATGAACTGAATTCTGTTTTTGTCGGGGGGGGGGAATCACATGATTTTTATAGACCCGGTTTGAGACTTTTTCGACAAATAGATTTTAATAGTTTTTCACAGTAGTCAGGTTTTTACAAAATCATAAAGTGTATTTAAGTGGATTTCTATCTTTCGGGTAAAACGAGATTAAAAATTTCTGCAAAAATACTGTAAGTTAAAGTTAAAATCAGAACAATGCAGTTTTATAAATACGTTACTACCCTAATACGATAAACCACACGTAACGCAGTGTTATTCAAAGCATTAATTTTACCTTGCTAATTTTACACAAAGTGATGTAAAAACAAAGATTGAATTATAAATGAGATAAGGAACTATTTTCATTAAAACTCACCTGGAAATAAATTTCCAAGTTTGAGTTGAAAACAAGCTGAATCGGTACTAAACCTTGAAAACTTATTAAAATCGCATTTGATAATAATAAATTTACTACAAATATTTATAATAATAAATTTACTATAAAAATCTGATGTGTACACCACATGACTTCCTTGTACGGAATATTAAATTATACGCATTTTTTCTTGCATTTCATTTAACTTATTGGATTGAATTAAATCTACTTCGCGGACAGCGCATAAACCACAATAGAATAAATGCATTCTTTAAAATTCACTCTAGTATTTGTTTATCATAGCAACACTCTGGCGCTAGATTCACTTAACACTATTAATAATTATATAAGAGTTAACTTATATATTTCGTTCATATTATAACTCATAATGCACAAAATTTATATCATTTAAAGAATAGAATTATCTAATCGTTGCCACATGTTCTATTCAAATACTATAATAAAGCTAGAATGATGTATAAAAGAAATTAAGCAAACAAAACAAAAAAGAAACAGTTTTTCACGGACCATTGAGTATTTCTCATTTAATTAATTCAGTTCTCACTTCACAAGAAGGCAAAAATACATAAAAAACTCAAAATATCTATATTAAAAATTACGAAGTAAATCTTAAACACTTATTTCCTCGAAAAAATTCCAAAAAGAATTAAGCATGATTTAATTGGCAATAATAAATGAATGCGTTATCTTTGTACTTGCGAAGCTAAGTTTCTCTAGCTTGGCAACAAATCCACTAGTCTTCTGTTTCGAATGTAAACATCAATAGCCGCCATTAAAAACAGGCTTAGCGGCAATTAAACAACTTTAAAATTGCTGATAATTCTAAAATATTGCACACAGATTTACTAAAGGAATAAAATCCTTAACCGGAAGATAAAAACAACATAATTCAAACATTTTTAAAGCAAAAAATGTACAATTTACAAACATATAAGAGTAAAGAAACTGAGATCACTGAGCCGGGTAACAGAGTGGATATATATTTTTTATATACGTTTGGTGCGGCCGATTGCAACCAAAATACGAGGTGCACATCTACATGTTATAGCAGTCCTATATACAAAATTTCAACGTTCTGAGGCTACTCGTTTTTGAGTTATGCGAGATACGTACGTACGCACGTACGTACATACGTTCGTACAGACGACACGAAAAATTCTCTTCAGAATTAATTTTAAAGCAGTTTTATAATTTTTTGGGGGAAAAGAGTATTTTATTCTGTCCTTACGTACAGATATCGCGCAAAAACATCGTTAAATTGCATTCGATAGCGGTCAAAATGGACATTTTCGTTGAAATATGCTGCCTGAAACTTTTCGCGATTACAATACTTCCGTTTTACTTCGTGCAAGGAAGTAAAAATTACTTTTTTAATTTATATTTATTTTTTAGCAATAAAATCACATTATGTCATCAAGATACAAAATGAGAATTAATAGAAATATATATATAAAAAAAAAAACAAAAAGAAGAAGGAAGGAAGGAAGGAAAGGAAAAATTAAAATCGTGTAATTTTTTAAAATCTGCAATAGTTCTTTTTTTTTTAATTTTATTCTATACCAAATTTATCCAATGTATTACTTATGCATTTTCTTAAATAACACAGTGCTCAAAAAGAATAATTCAGTCTTAAGTAAGTTAATTCCAGAAATAGCTTGTCAGATACGATTTACTATTAAACTGAAGTACTATTAAACTGAAGATTCATCAGTGCTATTTCCGCAACTGTGCGTGTTATTCCATAAAAATCCACTGACATATTGTGCAAAACTAAGTATTTATGAATTACAAGTAGACAGGCTTTGGGCCTAACTTGATTTAGACAGCAATGATAGAACTGCTTGGTTACAAGAAACATGGAGTAACTTTATATTAATGCATATCATTATCTACTTAAATACATATAAACTAGCATAAGAAATGCATCTGTCATTCCATAATAATAAGGGTACATTCCCATGGTCATAGCATTACAAAGTGTTGATGAGAAGCAGCGAAAAGCATGTTAGCAAGGCAAAGGGAAGCATAAGAAGAATAAGATTGTGCTAGTGATGTTACACATTAAGATTAATGAAGTTGTATATACTCAGCTAGAGGAATATCGTATAGCGTAATTGCTACTGATTAGTAAAAGTTTTGAATTAATTATAAAAAGATTAATGATTTTACTATCACTTTTGCAATTATGTAACTACACGCAGGGGCATAAGTAGAGAGGGCGTAGGAGTGGTCCTCTTCGGGAAGCACAATTTCAAAACTGGCACTTTTTGCCAGCAACATTATATTTTAGAGTTAGTCAGGTAGGTGGAGAATAGAAATTCTTTGAGGTAGGTGAAGAATGATTAGATTCGAAATTGTCATACGAAATAAAATTGAGAAGAAAATGTGTTTTTATTCTAGACAATGTAATCAAAGAAATCACCACGTCATTTCAACAACCGCATATTTTTAGTACGTATTTTTTATTCAGCCTAAACTTTTGAATGCAAATTAAGAATATCAACTAACTTATTGTATATCAACGAAATTCGTTAAGAAAGATGTGTTTCAGGTATTATTACCGTTATTACTGAGGAATCCACATAGGAACGTGAAAGGCGATCCTTTCAAACTTTTGCACGTCATTCCAAAGTATAATCTCAAGAACAAAGGATTGCATAAGAATCATACGGCAGAGAATAATTTTGATATGGCTTATTACAGAAAGATTAATCATAAATACTTTACTATGCTCAGCATACAAAAAAAATTAGAAAGAGATGATCTACGACCATGAAGCTTCTCATGCAAAACATTATATTTAATGTAACAATGCGACTCCACACGACCGTCAAATTTAAAGTGGTAATGTGGTAAGTCCTTCTCTAGGACAGCCGATCATATCTGTTTGTTCTGTAAAGTAATCTATTGAAGACAGCTCGCAAACGTAAAAAAAAAAAAAAAAAAAAAAAAAAAAGATAAAAAAAAAAATCTGAAATGTTTCAGATTTTAAATTACGTCCAAAGGAGCGTTTTTTTAACGTTTTGAGTGTTACCTTTATTTATTAAATATCATGTTCTTTGCACTTAAACCATAAAATTCAGTTCAAGAGCAATATCGCAAAATAATGTTAAATTAAGCATATCTTTAGAATTTCCGATATACACAGTTTCGCGAGCTGGAGATAAAGTATATTTTTCTATATAACGTTGCCATTTCTCGCTTTTAAAAGCATTGAGTTTGTAATCAAAAATTCGTTAAAGTTTTACAAATATAAAATCTATAATAAAACAATTCCAATTTGGGATTTCAGATGCCCATATCGCAGTAGGATTCGTCATTCAAAATTCGATGGCTCTATGTACCATTGTTTTATCACAATGCGAGAAATAGACAATCATTTATGCAGATTTTTTCATTATTAATTTCATCAAAATATAATGCAGGACTCTACCATTTTGTGGCAACAGTTTGAAAAGTGAACGGACGTTTATGAGTCCGACGCAAAATCGCAAAACGAAAACAATAGTCCTTCAGGGACAAAGCCCCTTTGGACTAAAAAACCATCTTCAAGTCGCCTAAGGGCTGCTTTTAATCAATCAGATGGCTTTCGATCACGTACTACGTGACTTTCTCAGCAAAGTCGTTGAAAACTCAATAGCCTACCGTGACTAACCAGGTCCCAGGTCGACAGAATCTTCTGCAAAAGTATGTAAACAACTTTAATTCAGTCTGTATTGCTGCCAGCAAAGAATTTACTATTTATTATACAGTAATCTTCTTATGGCTAGCATTTCTTAACATTCTTCCCCTTAATAATTCAAAATTTTTAAGGGGAAATCAGAATTTGATCAAAATTTTAAATTCTCATTTGCTGTTTTCCTGAAATTATACATTTCAGCATGTGTGTATAATGATGTATTTGGATAAAAAACGTTTCTTTGAGGAAACACTTATGGCAATATTGATGCTTTTTTTAAAATTAATACGGTCAGTGAGCTCCAAGCGAAAGTAATGAAATTGTTGACCTATGTTTACGTTAGATGGCGCTAATGTTGCAAAACACTACGGAACGTAAGCTGTTTTGTAACTTCTTTGCAGAGCAGCGTGTAATACACTCAACTCCTTATTGAGAGCTTTTATTAAAAAGTTCTCCAGCAGGGAGCTCACGATGAGCAGAAAAGACTCAGTCATTTCTCAACTAGTTAATTTTTTTAATTATTTAAAAGATCCATACCTTGTTTCTGGCTTTCAGAACTTCTTTGGAGTGTACCGTATGGACTGTGAAAAAAATGGTAACCTAAATGGAAATGCTGTTAGTTGTGATAAACAAACTGTCAGTGAAAAGTCAAGAACTAAATGTAAAATTATAACTATCAAATACGATGGATCCTCTGGTAACAGTGTATTAAGACACAGGAAAACTGCGTCTAGTGACTCTGGAAGCAGCGTAAATAGCCCTTTCACGTCGGATGGAGAGGAAATATCAGATGCTGATTCTGATCTCGAAAATACAGTGCAATGTAGAATCGAGAATAGATTTTGGTACTATTTTTTTAGCTTTGGTGCTAGTCTAGGTTATGAAATGTTCTATGCAAGCTTCTTTCCTTTTTGGATATGGAATATAGATGGTGCAGTCTGCAGACGTGTAATCAACGTTTGGGTTTTAATAATGTATGTTGGACAAGCTATGAAAGATATAATTTGTTGGCCTAGACCTGCTGCTCCTCCAGTAATACATTTAGAACCGCGTTATGTCATAGAATATGGCATGCCTTCCACACATGCAATGGTTGGAGCTGCTGTGCCTTTTTCATTTTTATATTTCACACTCCATCGGTATGAAGTAAGTGATTTCAAAGTTCCACTGAATAATGGTTAGAACTAAGGTATACCGCATGTAATTTGTTGAATTTTTGAAAAACATTTTACAGTTAATTCCCATTTATGGTAATGTTATTAGTTTTTCCTAATCAGATTATGCAATAATTTTTGAATTAATTAATCAGCAGTCTTGAGACTGTGTTGTAGAAAGGAAAACTTAGGACATAAGTGAACACATTTGATAAAATTTATGTAAATATAAATTATAAATTTAGTATGTATAAATCATAAATAATTAGTTTTAATAGTAAATAAATAGACTGTGTCTTCTGTAACATATATTGGGGGAAGGAGTGTAATAAATATCGGGTAATTTATCTGCTAAGGAAGCTTTTAAAGCAGTTTTGTATTTAATGAGTGAAAATTTAGCAACAAAAAATAAATTATGATACTGTCATTGGTTCTAAAATTGTGCTTATTGGTAGCTTGGTTATGGATTGCTTTTAATGACTTGAATTTGCTATATGTAAATAAAGCTTGCATATCTATTAAAACTTGAATTTATCTCCAAAAGCATCTTAGAATATATTTCTGATAAATTTTTTCTTAAATTGTTTCATATTTAAGAATACACATATATATTTTGTTCATTTTTGCCAAAAAGTATTAACAAATATCCTTTTTACCTTTTTTTTTTTTTTTTTTTAAGATTAAATTTTGCATTTTATTCTAATCCAGAATTAAAATTCCTGAAACATGTCCAAATTAAGTGTTAATAAAAGTAGAATGAAAGTTTTCGGTTTTTTTTTTTGTGTGTGCTTGAGGAAACTTAGGATTTTTTGGCCACATTTCTGTTTTGGAATATCTACATGTATAGGATTTGAAGTTCACTAATTGTCTCTATCTGATAAATTCATCTGTATTTTGTAATTATAAATTTGATTAATGTTCAGTAAATTTAAAAGGAATTTGAAGTATCCAAAAGTACAATATGAAAAATGTTTTTGAAAATTCATTGATCTTTTTCAAGGAGCAGCCAAAGAATTTTCAACAGAGCCACATTTCGGAGATGTTTCTGTAACATTTCCCTAATTATATCTGCACATTTGTGAATTTTTTAAATAATTAAAAGTGATAAATAAAAAGTAATTTAAATTATTAATTAAAATTCTTCAAAATGCAATAAAATTATTGCACTAAATCAATACAAACATAAATTTATTTTAATTTGAAATTTCTAAACTTTTATATATAATATATTTATCTGCTGAAAAAAATTGCATTTAATAGCAAAATTGGCATATTATGTTGTTATAGAGACTGGATGCAGAAGCTGGCAGTGTTTTTGCATTGATTTTAAATGCTCAAATTGCATTGATTTCAAATGCTTAAATTGCATTGATTTCAAGCTCTGGTCTCTTATTAAAACTCAGGAAAGGAAAAAGAAAATTATTACTCAGCAACTATTGCCTAATGTACTGAATGGAAGAAGTGCATATAATGCAAGTTTTATGCTTAATCATTAGGCTATTTCTGACTGTATTGGATAAAAGGGAAGCCTGAGTACGAGAAAATGAACATATGCCTTCATTTACAACATTCTATGGAGAGATATTAAGTAAAATATAAGAATTTTTTATTCATAATAGAATTTAGTAGATTAATAATTAATAGATTTACTGAAGTGCTTGCTAGCCATAGCATTTTTCCTCCATGCTCTTTTGATGTATGAGGAAGAAATCTGAAAAATTATATGAAATAATGTTATTATAAACAAATTATCAGTCTCTGTTATTTTAATATGTAAAGCAACATATGTGCCATATGTAAACTGTTTTTTAGAATAGTTATTTTGTAAAAGATTAAATCTTTATTTTTGCAGTTTGTAGAAAATTTGCTATTAATCATTTTATGATAAAATTTTGCACTTTTTATAAAATTTGAATATACAATTTAATTCTTGTGTCTCTTTAGAAATGGAATTTTGATCTGAGAATTTAAAAAATGAATAGAAAATGTCATGTAGCAGAATTCATGATCTTGAAAAATATTTGATTTTTTGCTTGTAAATTAAAGTAATTGGAATACATTTTAGATATGTAAAATTTTTTTCATGTACTGGGCTCAAAAAAATTTCAATATATGCTTTTAGTTATGTAATCCACTATTATAATATCTATTGGCAATATTACCACTGCCTTAAAATTGCTGACCTGAATATTTTAAAATTAAGATGTTTAAAAAAATAAAAGATTTATGTTTTTTTTTTTTTATTTATAGTATTTTTATTACATTTCTTGTTAAAAATATTGAATTAATTAATTTAAAAATTTAAACTGCTAATAACTGCTTTGTTGTTTGGAAAAATTCAGTTGTAAAAAACTGTAATTGTCTTAGTTAAAAACAAATAACAGCAAGACAAAAATTATGAATTTTTCCTCTTTAATTGTTTATTTTCTGTAATTTATATATTTATTTTATATATAATAATATCAGAACCTGTTAATTTACCATAAAAAACTAAAATGGAAATTAAAAACTTACCTGAAGTAAACTGAGCTATCATATTTGCTTTATAATTAGTAAGTATAGTATATGGAAGTTACAAATTCAAAATTATATTTTCTGTCATTCCTGGTTATAGTGATAAGTTTGAAGGTGAAGTTATATTCATTATCTGTTAAAGTTAATTGTTCTAAAATATTTTTGCATATTTATTTGATATAATCAGAATTCCTACCCCCCCCAAAAAAAAACATAGTTAATCCAGGTGATGAATATAAAAAAGGACCTAGTGGCAACAATATCTATTGTCTATAATATAATTGTAGTATTTTCAATTATGTAACTTCCTGATAAATACTATTTTTGTCATTGCAAACATCTTTTCATTTGAAAATTTAATTTGTGTAACAAATAAATTATTTGATACGAATACATAACTTGAATATTATATTTATGGCTCAAAAGTACTTTTATTGAAAGGGATATGTATATAACTGGAAAATAAGGTTATTTTATATTCCTCTTTTTCAAGATTTATTTTTATGTTAATTACAGTGGCTCACTTTTTTTTTTTTTTTGAGCAATTGTGTTTTTCAGTTTTATTTGCAAATATCAGTTACTAAGTATTAGCAAAATAACTTTTTCTTTCACATATACTATTAATCACCTATTTTTAAATCTGCTTGTTTTTTTAAAAAAATTTTCAGTGCATGTTTCAACACCCACAAAAAAAAGTATTAAAAAGATCCTGAAAATGAACTCCCATAAATATTCGGCGACTTTGAGTGGGGAAAGTACAGAATCTCCCACTGCTTGCTGCGTTTTTAAGAATTGCACATACTCGGTATCCGCATACACATCAACCTATTTTTCCTTTAAAAAAAATCCCAGAATTGCACATATTGGGCATTGCACACTCCCTTGACTTTATTTATGTACTCATCGACCTATTGTCACTTAAAAAGTAAAATAAAATTGACAAAAATCCAATTCATCTTACCCTTGTAAAAAGCGCCAAACAAATAAGTGGGCGATTCTGCACTTTACCCTTTTGAGCAGACAGTTTGTGTTTAATAAAAACGTAAAAGTAGTGGGGCATGCAATATTTCATTGGATAATCTATCGCTAAAATTATTCCTTTCACTGCTTTTGGCATGGATTCAACTAGTTTTTTCGTGTAAGATTGTTCCATTTTTTTCCCATTCCCCCGTAGGATTGCTTTTAATAGAGATTTTGAAGAAATATCTCGTTTTCTTATTTTTCTTCTAGCGCACTTCATGCATGTTTGATAGGATTTAAGTATGGGGAATATGGAGGAGTTCTGATTAATTCAGGATGGTTGTATGGTAATCACAAGCTGACATTTAGAGATCTATGTTTAGGATCTTTATTCTGATAGAACTTGAGTTATTTTATATTCAAGTTTTCTTTCAGATGCTTTCAAATTTTCATTAAGAATATTTATAGATTTATGTGTGTGCATATTCATGTTTGTAAGAAATAAATTTCCGCATCACAGAGGTAATGAAGCATCTCCAAACCATTAAGTCTACGCCAATGTGCCTAATTAGCTTTGTCCTATAATAATTTGCTCATCAGACCCTTCTATATTAAATTTTAACTTGTTTGTAAATATAACAGTGTCCCAACATGATAAATATTTGGTTACGTTGAATTTTGCAAAAGCCAGGGATATTTTTGTTGCTTTCTTGCTGGTCTGCCATTGTATTAATTTGCTCTAATCACTCTTCTGACAGTTTCAGGATTAACTTTTATTGAAAACTATTCTTCAAAACCCTTTGAAAGTTTTACAGCACACATTTTTGAGTTTTGTTTGATTTTCCATAGGATAAATCAGCTGTTCCTTCGTGTTATCTTGGAATGTTCCAAACTTCAGTGCGTTTTGAATAGTTCCAAGTAGTTTCTATCATTTTACTAACATCAGAAATGGTTAAATGCTTTACTCCAAGAATTTTACATTTTTGAATACTTTTACTATCATTGAAATTAATTTAAACTGAAAGAATTCTTAATTTCTAACAGAACTTGTTAGTTTTTAGGGTCTTACTGTGTGAACTTCACATATGAAACTATTAATTTATTTTGCTAAACAAATAATAATTTCCAAATGAAAAGGATAAATCTTTTGATGAATTTTCATTTTAAGCAAAGTTTGACTAGAAATATCGTCTTTCAAAACATCTCAGCAAAACTTTTGAGTCTCCAAATTATTATGATTAACATTTTTCAAATGAATTATTTTTTTTACTCAGAATATTTTGATGATATTTATTTTATAACGAATATTAAAATAAAGGAACAATGGTATATTAGTAAAAAATTTAAAGTCTGTGTTTCATTATTTATTACAAGATTTATGCAAATAAGTTTAAAAAATACAAGTATCTGAAAACAAATGTGAACCACTGTAGGTATGACAAATGCTTTGCTTTAAAAATTGTAGGTAGAAGCTTAGAAAGGGGAATTACTGATATCATGATGATTAATTAAGCATTTAATGTTATTGCATATATAGTTTTCAAATAATTCATAGCTTTTTTAATTTTTTTTCCCATTACCCTGTGTTACCTTTTGAGATATTATCCTTGGCTGCAGCTTTATAAATCCTGAGCATAATAAACTTTTTCCAGTAATTAATGTACTAATTAGTAAGGGGAAAAACTTGCTTTAAATTAACGGACATGATTTTTTCTTTTAATTACATCACAGTATTCTTTTGGATGTAAAAGATATCCAGTAATGAATGAAACAGTTTGAAATGTCTAAAATAAATTGAAACATAAATTACAAAAATGTCTAAAATAGTAGATGTTTATTTTTATATTTTTAGAGATTGATGAAAAGCAGAAAATAATTAGTTTTCATATCTACTTTAGAAAAATTGTAAACTATATATAACTAGTTTTGGGATCTAATAATTTCATATCCATAACAAGCTTGTTTGATATATTGGGTTGTTCGGAAAGTAATTTCATTTTTTTGGGGGGGGGGGAACATGAAAGACAATTTTATAGGATGAATAAATATTTTTAAATTATATATTTTGCCATTCTGGTCCAACACCTTTTTGCCATCTTTCTGGCAGTAACATGATTCCCCGCTCATAAAGTTTTGGTCCTTGCTGGCAAAACTGATTCAGTGGTTTTTGACATCTTCATTTGAGGTAAGGTTTTACCATCCAAAAAATTTTGCAGGGACCGAACAAAAATAATCGGAAGGCGCCAGATCTGTAGAATATGGTGGGTGTTGCAGTATGTCCCATTCAGCTTAAAAGCTTTTGGCGAGTGACCAAACTTGTATGAGGTCTCGCATTATCCTGGGGAACACTACACCCTTCCTGTTGGTTAATTCTGACCTCTTCTGTTTAAGTGGCATCATTCATTTGTCCAGCTGATGAAATAGACTTCCGAATTAATAGTTGTATTGTCCGTAAAAGCTGAAAAAAAAAAGATTCCTTTAAAATCCCACCAACGGACAGCATCACCTTTTTTTGGTGAATGTTGGCTTTTGAAACGCTTTGAGCCGTTCATCTTTTCTGCTCCATGACCTCTTGCGTTTCACATTGTTGTATACGACCCATTTTTCGTCCCAGAATATCCGCTTCAAAAATGGATCATTTCCCGAATCACACACGTCAACGCGACGACAACAAATTTCGCTCCGTAAGAACTGGGCACCCACACATCGAGCTTCGAGGTTAAGCCCAGCCTTTCAAGTGGCAATAAACAGTCGAATTCGACAAATTTACCTCTCACCGATCTCTCGTGTGTTATTCGCTGATTTGCATCAACTATGCCTTTATCGCATCTTTGTCAGCTTCGACCGGCCTTCCAGACCGTGGTGCATCTTGACATCAAAATTGCCGGATCGAAACTTTGCAAACCAGTTCTGGCACTGGCGTACTGTTAAACCGCCTTCTCCATACACATCCGTCATTTTTTTGGTCGCTTGGACGCATTTTTACCTTTCTGAGTAAAAAGTAAAATATGACGAAAATGCTGCTTATTGCTCTCCATATTTAAAAGGGCACCAACCAAAAACTACTGCGTAGAATTAATAGAACTTTTTCACATACAAGCCTTGTAATATCAGCTCTCAAGACATATAATGGTTATGCGGCTTAAGTGTGAAGTTGGTTTCGAAAAAATGTAATTAAGTCCTCTGACGGGAAAAAACGAAATTACTTTCTGAACAACCCAATATCTATATTTGCACTGTAGTTATCATATTGAATATTGTTTTGCTTTTCTATAAATTTTAAATGATTAAGCAGTAAAAAATCAGTATTAAGTTAATATTTAAGTTATTATATTAATAAAATAATTATTTCAAAATAAAAATAATAAACTGCTGTTGAGAATTCAAAGTAAAAATTATGTATTGCTAATTATCTTGTTTAGTTGATTTTGGATTAATTTTAGTCTTTCTTTACTGTAGTATCAAGTTATAGTTGGCATCCTGATTGCTACAGTATGGTGCATTCTAGTTTGTTGCAGTCGTTTATACATGGGAATGCATACAGTTTTGGTAAAGTATTTTTTATTATACCTAATTGTTTTTTATGCAATAGATACCAAGATTTCAGCAGTTTTGTTATTGCAAAACTAATAAATAAAATTGCAAAATTTTAAATATTGTATGCTTTTATGTATGTGAAATGAATGTTTCTAATATAGTAAACTTTTAAAATAATTTTCTCTATTAAGGTAGAAACAAAACTGGTAACCGTAAAAGTTTGGTCAGCACCAAGATAGCTTTGGTAGCAATTTGAATATCATGAACTTAAGTTGTCACTGAGAGAACTTTCACTATAGTCTGTCAGACTGTACCCCCTCAGGGGCTCACTCTTGTGAGTACGGGTGTGGCAATCCCGAGGTACCCTAACCCTTCAGGGTATCATCTTCTTGGTGAGATGGGTGTCACTATCCTGGAGCCCCAGTGATCTATCCTCTTATCCGTCTCCTCTCTTTTTCGCTAGAACTTTTTCCCTTCTCTTCTTTCTTGTGGTTTCTCTCTTCGGAGTTTGGGGCTCGTCACGAGAGACTGGAACAGCCTTTGTCTCTAGTTTTCGAGTTGTGAGAAAACTGTCCACATGTTTGCCGTGTGTGGAGACTCGTGTCGCTGGAAAGGAGGGCCCTGATAGTTGAGGGGTGAGGTACTGTCTCCAACACACTGCTTTGGCCTCTGCTTCAGCTAAACGGGAGGCACCTTAGTCGTCCTCACGGGTGTCAATCAGCTGGTCACTAGTCCTTGTGTCAGTGGCTTGGGGATAAGCTCTAAGGAGTACCTGCTTTCGGGAAAGTCCGACTGTGGGGCTTCAACTTGCGTATAGGTCCGGCTATCCCTAGCACAGGAATCTGTGTTCCCATGTTGGGCTCCGTGGTGGGCGGGGCTGTGGGACCCGAAATCTTTTTCTTTCTTCAATCATGGCAAACTCTCTCAAATTTTTCTAATTAAAGACTTTCGAAAGTTAGAGTCAAGTCAGGTCAAAGCACTTAGTTCTGAAAAATCTGTTGCTAAAAAAGTACGTACAGATACAAATGAAAAATAATCCTAACAATAGTCCCCGTTTCCTTGTTATCTCTAGTTCCTTCTGGCGAACTGCATAAGATGTCTTCCTTTCGTAATAAATTAAATACATCCAGTCTTGTATTGGTGAGCCGAGAAATATAAAGCTTCTCTGCTCTGGAGACTTGCTTATTGATACAGTTTCGGCAACTCGGTCTGCATCATTACTTCAAATGATAAAACTTGGACAAGTGAATGTCACAGTAACAGCACATAAGACACTAAATTATTGTCGCGGTGTAATCTTGGAATTCGACCTTCTGTATGCTTCTGAAGAAGAGATCGCATCCGAGCTGTTTGACCAAAGTGTCTGCGGTGTTAGGCGGATCAAGGTGCGTAAGGAAGGTAAGTTGATAGATACAAAACACGTGATCCTGACCTTCAACTCGTCTGGTCTGCCTAAGAATATTAAGGCGGGATACATAAATTGTCGCGTAAGACCTTATATTCCAAACCCTATGCGATGCTTCCAATGCCAGCGTGTCGGCCATTCTAAGACGTCTTGTCGTGGCAGCCTCACACGCGCCCGATGCTCACAGATTGGCCACGATTCTGAAAATTGTACCGCTGCGCCTTTGTGTATAAATTGCAAGGGTGAGCACCCAGCATTTTCACGCCTGTGCCCAAAATGGAAATCAGAAAAAGAAGTGCAGACTGCAAAAGTTACTAGGAACATCACATATGCTGAAGCCAGAAGATTAGTCTAAAGCACACAAATTAGACCAAATACTCATACGCCAGTGCTCTTAAAACATCTCGTACAGTTGCCACCCAAACTTCAGTTGGTATGCAGACCCCACCAAACAAAACTCAACAGATTACAAGAAAAAAGAAAATGCAACGCATATAGTACAAAAAAAAGAAACAGTCATTCAGAGTAAACCCAAAACTGCCACACAAAAAATATCAAATAAAAATAGAAGTTCCAGCAATAGCTCTCTTGATGGAATGGTTTCTGAATCTGTGGATTCAGACAGCATGGAAGTAGAAGAGGGTCTAGAAGTTCCCAGGCATCTACTTCCACGAAAAACAAAAGAATAGCACAGAAAGAACAAAAAACATTCATAAAGGCCCTCCTCGTATCATGGAACTGTCACGGTTTCCACCAAAATTTCCTTGACATCAAATCTATAAGAAATGCGTATCATCCCATGTGCTTAGCAATACAGGAAACAAATCTGAAACCAAAACAACATGCAAAACTTTGGAGGTTTTCTTTCATCAGGAAGGATAATCTTGCAGGTGAGCGTGCCAGTGGAGGTGTAGGTCTTCTCACCTCACTGGATTATCCCTCAAATGTACTTTCTTTGATGACATGCCTCCAAGTTGTCGCTACTCGAACAAATTTTGATATTGTTTCATTTGTTTCTCTGTATTTGCCTCCAAATGAGCACATTGATCAGCAAGATTTAAATGATCTTAGAGAGCAGCTGCCTGAGCTCTTTATCATAATAGGAGATTTTAACGGCCATAGTCCGCTGGTAACTTAGGAGTAGTAAAGATACAAATTGCCGAGGAAGACAAACTGAGCAGATGAATGAAGATCATAGCCTTTGTCTCCTGAATAATGGGCAGGATACGTACTTCCATGAGCCTTCAAGGACATTCCACACTCTCGACCTTGCCATCTGTTCACCATCTCTCTTGCCATTTTGCACTTTTAGTGTGGGTAATGATCTTTATAACAGCGATCACTACCCCATTTTTATATCCCTTGCACAAAGAGGAGCAAATCCCATATCGAGATCCCCTCGGTTCATACTCGATAGGGCAGACTGGGAACTCTTTTCTTCCGTTGCAGAACTCACAGAGGAAATGGTATAAGATGTGCATATCGATGACGCTGTTAAAGCTGTTACTAATACTATTGTTCAGACAGCTATGCTGAACATCAGAAACATTCAGAGGGAACATCAGAAAAATGCTTAAGCATTCGAAACCATGGTGTAATCGTGACTGTCATAAAGCACTGAAAAAACATAGGAAAGCATGAGGAATTTTTCGTAGATATCCTACTCATATCGATGTTGCTGTTGAAGCTATTACTCGAATACTATTATTCAGGCAGAGCCAGAGGGATTCCTGGATTTTATATGTGTCGTCAATAACATCCTCTACGCCTAGTAAGCGGGTTTGGGAAAGAGTTCGAAAAGCATGTGGAATATATAAAGACCACTCACTTTCCTTTTTGGAAAAAGATGGCCGAGTGATTAGCTCCATAGAAGAAATTGCGAATACTATTGGTGAGACATTTGCTGCCATTTCTTCCAGCAGAAACTATTCACCTGCATTTTTCTCTATCAAGCAGCACTCTGAAATAAATCCCATCGCATTCAATTCTTTCAAATCTGAGAATTACAACCGAGACTTTACTATGTTTGAATTAAGGAGAGCTTTGTTCCAGACATATACGTCTTCTCCCGATCTTGATGGCATGAATTACGAAATGCTAAAACATCTGTCCTGTAAGTCACTGAATGCCCTTCTCACTCTTTACAATAGAGTGTGGAAGGAGTGTACTTTTCCCAGTGCATTGGAGACATTCATTCGAAAAGCTTTTGTAAGAAGAAGTCACCTTGTCTTGGTATTCTTTGATAATGAGAAAGCTTATGATAAGGCTTGGCGATACGGTATACTTCGGGATCTTCACGAGAGTGGCTTGCGCGGCAACCTACCAATTTTCATTCAGAATTTCTTGAACACTAGAACTTTTCAAGTAAGGATTGGCTCTGTTTTGTCGGAAGTATTCAAACAGGAAGAGAGTGTGCCTCAAGGCTGTGTGCTTAGTGTAACTCTGTTCAGCCTAAAAATAAATTCTGTATTAAAACAACTTCCTCTCACCATTTCAGGATCCTTATATGTTGATGACCTACAAATTAGCTGTCGAGGGGCGGATATGAGACATGTAGAGAGGCAGCTCCAGATCGCTTTGAACAGGATCCAGGAATGGGCAAAAAGACAAGGATTTACGTTTTCAAAACAGAAGACTGTGTGCGTGCATTTTTGTAGAAAGTGAGGTCTCCATCCTGAGCCTGAATTATACCTCAATGGGTCTGTGATTCCAGTTGCACCTGAAGTAAAATTTTTAGGGGTGATGTTCGACCGAAAATTAACTTTCCTTCCTCATGTCCTAAACTTGAGAAAAAAGTGTACAAAAATTTTAAATATTTTAAAAGTGCTGGCGAACACCTCCTGGGGTGCAGAGCGTTGCTCTATGCTTCGCATTTACAGAGCTCTTGTTCGCTCTAGACTAGACTACGGATCCGCTCGGCCTTCAGTGTTGTTAAAACTAGATCCTGTTCATCATTGGGCTCTGCAGATTTGTTCTGGAGCCTTCAGGACATCTCCTGTGCAGAGCCTTTATGTTGACTGTCACGAGCCATCACTCCGTTTGAGGCGTGAGGAGTTGTCTGTCTTACAATATTTTAATATATTGTCTCAACCTGACCATCCTTATAAACTGTCTTTACGTGATGATAGCTGTGACCTTTTATTTGAAAAGTGTCCATCCTGTGTGCCTTCTTTTCCTGTCAGGGTTCGTCCTCTCATTAAAGAATTCTCCTTGTCTGATATGTCCCCACAAGCAGTACAGCATTTTGAGATCCCACCTTGGGAAATGCACAAATCCAGCTTCTTGACATTTTCCACAGTTACAGGAAAAACAACCACTAATGACATCATCTACAGACAAATTTTTACTGAGCACAGGCATAATTACAGCAGTTATCTTCCCATCTATACGGATGGATCTAAGTCAACTTGTCACGCTGGGATGTCATTTGTAATTGGTGACCACTGGGAGGGCAGACGTTTACACGACGCCTCCTCGGTCTTAACCACTGAGATGACTGCTATCTATTATGCGCTTTTGTATATCTCAACGCTATGCTATAGAAATTTCATTATATATACAGACCCCTACAGTGCACTGAAAGCTTTAGAATCCTTTTCTAGTACCAACAATCCTGTGATAGTGGATGTACTGAAGCTAAATATTAAATTAACAATTCGTGGATATGAAATTCTATACTGCTGGGTCCCTGGACATACAGGAATAAAAGGCAACAAGCTGGCAGACATCACAGCAAAATCTGCTGTTGAAACGTTTGGCTGCCTCATCCCTTTTAGAGATATCTGTTGTGTCATCAAAGAGAAGATCAGAAATAAATGGCAGCAACTTTGGGACATTCAGATTCATAACAAGTTGAGAAGGGTGAAGGCTAAAATAGAGCATTAGCATACTAATTGCAGTCGTAAGGAGCAAGTTCTTTTGACTCGCCTTAGAATTGGTCACACTAGAGTGACACATAAACTACCTTCTGAAAGCTGAGAACGAGCCTGTTTGTGCAAATTGTGATGTTTGTCTCTCAGTCCATCACATTTTAATTGAATGCCCATAGTTTAAAAGTCTTCGTGAGAAGTATTTTAATAGCTGCTACCTGCCTCTCGACCGTTTAATTGGAAGAGAGGTCAATACCAATTCGTTTGATTACTGGAAAGAAACAGGTTTCTATTATTTAATTTGATTTTTGACTTGATATTTTGTGTTAGAATTTTAATGAATCATATGTTTTAGGATTTTATATCTATACTGCAAATCTCATTATCTGAATCATAATCAGCATTGCCTCGATTTTAGTGTTGTGTTGCTTTAGTGTGCTGTTGCTTTAGACTTTTTTCTTTATCTAATATCTATACTTTATATGTTGAAATACGAATCCTGTGTCTAGGGCAGATGGCCTATATAGCTTTGCGCCATAAATCTACCACCACCACTGTCAGACTGTACAGGGTGAATTTAAAAAAGTGGGCAAAACGTTGATAGAGTTGATAGAAGGCAGCTATACGAGCAATATTCTTCATAGAATGTATAGTCGGAATGCAAAGCCACTATGTGGCATTGTTGCATTGGTCCTTGCACCTAACAGCATTTTGTACTGTGGTTTGCCTAGATGATTGCTAATTATGCCAACCACGAAATTTCCAGGGCTCTGGATTAGTCAAGGTGGTCCCATGGCTTGGCTACCAAGATCACCGGCTCTCTTGTGTTTGGACCTTTTTCCTATAGGGCTATATGAAAAGCCTAATCTACAAGTACCCTGTTGAAACCGATATGGATTTAGTAGCCAGGATTGCCATTGTTGCCAGTGATATTGAGGAAATGTCTGATGCCTTCGCAAATGTATGTCAATCCCTATCCCCCAGATGGGGAGCCTGCATTATAGCTGGCAAAAGGTTTTTTGAGCAATTCCTTTAAGCATGTACATAAGTTACATTACTGTAAATAAAATGTTTTCTGAAGTATCTCCTCTCATTCTTGTGTTTATTCTTTAAATGTGGCAGTGAGCAACTACCCTTTAACTTCTCATCACTTGCATTCCAACCACATATTTTATGACAAATATTGCTTGTATAGCTGCCTTCTATCACCCTCTAAAGTGTTGCCTATTTGTTCAGATTCACCCTGCATATATATATCATATATAAGACACAATATGAAAGAAAATTACTAACTTAATTTGCAATAGCAATTTTAATTCCTGATTTTATTTTGGATGCATGCCCCTTCAAAGAATCTGCTTCACTTACATCTGCAATGTGAAAGTTTGGTTGCTCAATTGCTGTTCAGAATTCAAACAAATATACCCCAAATGTTAATATGCAGTTTATTTTTGCTCACTTTCTTCATCAAATCTGCATCTGTTCACTACTCTAAAACTTTCAACTATTGTTTAAATATGGAGATGTGTACATAAAATTGTGGGGTGCTTATAGCACCTCTAGTGCTGTGAAAGTCAGTAATATATGTCTTAACCAATTAAATGATTTGTGAATAATGATGTGTGTTAAGAATATCCAGGAATAAATTACATGTTGAACTCAGCATATTTATCTTCCATCTATGCAACAGATTCAAGTTATTTTCTAACCTCAACTTATCTGCAGATAAATCATTACATGTACGTATATAATTTCAAACAGTTATTTCCTTAGTTGCTTGTTATGCCAAATCCATTATTAAGTATACAGTGGTTAGATGATGCTACATTGATATATCTTGATGCATTCTATCATACTGGGTGGTGTAGCCTAATATGTGCTCCCATTCCTGATATTGATGCATTTTATCATACTAGGTGGTACAGCCTTATATGTGCTCCCATTTCTGAGTTTGCAAAATCTTATGTTAGAAAAGATGAACAGAAAAAAAAATGTGTGTGGCATGAATGGTCTCAGCTAACTGATGTGTTTCCCTTTCCCAGTGCATTTCGGCTAACAGGAAGGGGAGCAAAATCATTAGTTGTCCCTGAGCACTGAAAACCTGAGCTACGCTTCTGGGTCCATGATATTGCCATGAGTTTGGTTGCTTTTCTATTTGGAACTTGAATAAGGAAATATTTACTATTTTCTTGTTATAACCAATGAAACATCTGCTGGGAGAGAACCTTGTCTGCATTCCTGGACAAAAAGTTTCTTTCATCTATTTCCATAATGTTATCAGTGCCACTTATTCACTTTTTAGCTTGGGCATTAAATGTAGAGAAAATGCCTCCTTCACAAAAAGAAAAATCATTTCAGTCAATAATTGCATTTTTGCAAAAGTTGAGTTGCTTCTCACATCACTTAATCATCATCAGTTTCTCTGTCCAGATAAATAAATTGCAGAGCTCTTGCAAATGTTATTAAACCCACTCAAAAAGAAGTGAGGTCTGCTTTTTTTATTTGCAGATTTTTATATTATTCCTCCAAATGCTTTTACTTGTGTATTATTTCATGACCATTTTTAAATGTTCAGATCTGCAGTAAAGTGTCTGTTTGGGAGGGGGGAGAATACATAGCATTTTTCTTATGCCTTGGTAAACAAAAATTGTTAAAAATTTTATTCGAAAAGAAAATATGTTAGTGCATGACATATTTAGAGCTCTTCTCTGTGATGAATTATATTAGGGCTATTGGATGTCTTGTAACAGTTTGCAACATAGGTTGACAATCTGTCAATAAAGTTGCCATCATTTGAAAATTTTTCTATGAATTTTAATATAAAATATTGGCAGTTAAATTTTAAAGTTCAAAATCTGAAAGTAAAATTACTTTCAGATTATCCACAGCTTAACTGAAAAATTATGGCCGACAAATTTTCTCCAAGTAAATGTGCAAAAGGCAGAGACCATTTTCAGAATGATCGCGCCCTAAGAATTCGATATCAGAGTAGTCAATGGATAAAATTTAAAAAGTAAGAAACACTGTTAATAAGACACTTACAGTAGATTTCTTATTTTTCAATATATTGCAATTCTTAGGGAGCATTTACTTATTATCAAATAATACTCAAAAATTGTGACTGATACCAAAAATCTGAGTACCAGTTTGAAGTAAGAATGCATGAATACATACCAAACAATCCTTACTTATTCTGTGATAAAAGTTTTTATAATTGTTGCAAATAAACATCTTTCGTTTCACTCATTTCACTATGGTATTTATGGTGCATTTTTTTATTTAAACATTACTTTTCATTTTTACTTCATTGTACGAAAGTGAAGGAAGTATTCTAATTGTAAAAAATTTTGAGTTTCAGATTTCAGTGGGAATACCCAGTTTGACTATTTTTTTGCGTGACATCTTTACGTGCTTGCAGAATAAAGGACTTTTTGTTCAAAAAATTATTGTTAAATAAATTCAAAATGGGCTTTTTTGTGATGTTTGTACATATGTACATATCTTGGGTAATTCAAAAACAGTTAGCCATAGAACACTGAAATTTTGTATATGGGACTGCTATAATATCTAGTTGTGCACCTCCCTTTTTTATTGTAATGGTCTATACCAAAACTATATATTCAACTATATATTTGGTGTAAGAGTCCTTACACAGCTTTTATTTTTGTGATAATTGATCGTAGACATATACTTCCAATTGCAAGTGTTTAAAATGATGAAAATATTCTACAATTTCAAATTAAGAAAAAATATATTATGGACAAATAGTGAAATCTAACTTTAAATGTGGCCTTCCAGTTCCTGTAATTATAATGGGAAAGTTTTATATGTGTTATGAAAAAATAAAAATACAACAAATTTGACATACAGCAATAATTGACCTGGATATTTTATTTCAAAATTTGCAATTTTTTATGTTATTTTCATCTTGCATTGATGGACTGGCTTATTAAGTTATAATAATTCAAGGAAATAAGTGTAAATAAAGTGCAGCAAAAAATTTATCTAATTTAATAGGCGTACAAGGAAGTCATGGTGCCCACATCAGATTTTTATTTTTATTTTGATACATTTAAGTAGCAATAACTAATTCAGTATTGTTATTTCAGGATATTATTGGAGGTCTGGTGCTTGTTGCTATTTTGATGACAGTAATACTGCCTTTCTCTGATAAGGTTGATCACTACCAGCTGATAAATACATATTCCCCACTTGTTACAATCGGATTTATGCTTCTCTTGCAAATAATATATCCTAAGACTGAGCGGTGGACTCCTGCTAGAGGTGACACAGCAGTTATCATGGGCACTGGCACTGGTTTTGCTTTGGGATCATGGCTGAACTATCGTCTGGGTGTCATACGTGGACCAGCATTACCTCCTCCATATGATATTATGTGGCCAGATTACAGAGTTTTTGGTTTAGCTCTTTTGCGAGCTATAATAGGTATATCATGTATTGTGGCAACTCGAGCATTTTTCAAAAGCGTGTCTTATGCAATATTTTGTTTTGTTATGCGAGTGGATTCCAGTGATCTGAAGTCAAGGCAAAAAATTCTTGTTGAGATACCTTCTAAATTTATAACTTACTCTGCTATAGGTTTTGTAATTACTTATGTTGCTCCATTTGTGTTCAGACTGTTGAATATTGAGCGTGAGACTATGTTTACTGAAGTTTAAACAATGCAAAAATAGAAATAAATTATTATATTTAAATATTTTATATTTTGAATATTTGTATTATAGTATTTCTGAAATACATATTGAGGTTTATATATTTAATTGGTATACAAGCATGCCTTTTTGTATGCTTTCCTGCTCAATAAAAAGTTTATGTAATCATTTAGAATTTGGAGAAAAAAAGAATTTAGAAAGAAAATTTATTCTATTATATTTTGCTTGCTTGTGTATTAATTATTTATGCAGTGTGTTTCAGAAAGACTGAGTAACAAAATACTTCTTGAATAGTTTGCCATCAACCCATCGATCTTAAGAGATAAATCAAACCAAATATGTTATGAGACTGATTTTTTGGTCATAATATATAGTTTAATGCAAATACATAAAATTCGAATTTTAAAACATCCTTCAGTAGAGAAATTTTCATTTACCTTTTACTATTAAAATAATTTTTGTATAAATGGAGTTGTGTAGTATCATATAGTTGGCCACCCTAAAACTTTCGAAAAATGATTTTGTTAGACTGTTTTCAGCTAGTGAAAAAAACCTAGAACTGGCTTTTGCTGACAGAAATCTTTTTTGCCTGGCATGGCGAAAATGGTTTAAGGTGCAGAAATGGCAGCAATATCGAAAGTATACAGTATTAAAATTCATATTAACTAGTAAGACTTATTAATTTGCGAAATTATTTTTATGAATAAAAGTCATATAGGTAATTAATCATATTTAATAATAAAAGATTGTGAATTATTGCTTGATTCCAATTATGGAAATAGAGTAAATTTGTTCGTTCTATTTTTACTTCGCATCATGTTTCCACAAAAATGTGCTTAACTTACTCTATAAAATAAAAAAAAAAAAAAAAAAATAGAGAGCATCCTTTCCTTTAGGCAAGTAGCTGCATTCTGTCTAATAATTCATAATTAATTAAATAAGTAAGTAAAATTTTACAAAAAAATGAACTCTCATTAGCTTATGACTACCTTTTAAGTTCTTTAATCAGATTATCTGTACTATTGAAGCCAGTGAAATATAGCTGATTCGCCAATCACAGCTTGGTTTTCTTCAGAGATTGTTTCATGTTTAGGATGCAGCTTTTTCAAAAAGAAAGCTGGAATAAAATTTTTTGACACTTATTTAATTAAGACACAATAACACGCCGAGTAAAT